AGCCCAAGCTGGCCTCGAACTCACAACAATCCTCCTGCCTCAGCCTCCTGAGTGCTGGGATTATAGGTGTGGGCCACCATACCCAGCCAGCTGGCCTGATTTTTGCGGGGAGGCATTTCAGAAAGAAACTAATTTTTATTGGCTATCTGCTATGTTCCAGGCGTCAGTGGAAGTGTCTTTACTGGCTGTTTCAGTCTTCAAAACACCATGAAATAGATGTGCCCCATGATACCAAGAAACTTGAAGCCCAGAAGTAACTGGTAGTATGTAGTGAATTTACCTAGTCACTAAATTTTTAGAGCCAGAAGATGGCAGAGAACTTGTTTCCATTATTTTCATGAACGAGGACAGTGAAAGATCAAGTGATCTGATGAGTACATTGCTAGATCAGTGGTTCTAAAACAAATCTGATTAATTTAATACATAAAAGTATAAAAATGCAGTCTGGAATCCTCAGGTTGCAAGATTATCCATTCATTCATAAGTAACAGATAACTGGCACTGTTTGCAGTTGGGGCACCATATCCTGTTGTTCACATGGTCTACTGAAAGGAAAGTATACGTATGTGATTTGTCACACCTACAGATAGGGCAAGAATGACCACAAAATGAACATTTTGTGTAAATATCACAGTGTCTTTGCTCTTATTTCTAGGTGCAAAGAAAAATCTAGACTCCTTTAACTAAATCAAAGTCTGAATTTCATTAAATCAAAACCACATTTAATTGGATAAGGTTTTGCGCCCTTTGTAACAATCAGTTTCTTGAAGCTATGCACACAGTGAAACACACAAATCATTCTAATAGAGAAACATCACTGTGTGCTTTTAAATGGTGGTCAACAAGCACATGTAGACCTATGGCTAATGTTTCTAAAGCTGAGAAGTGCAAAGTTAGCAGCAGCAAAAGGACCATGAACCGGCCATCCGTGAGAAGACTGGCAGAGTCCTACCTTTATTTTTTCCCTTCTGTTCTCATTTTTTTACTTCTCCCTTCTTTGCTTTGAGTCCACCTTTACATTGCTAAACACAGGGACCTGAAGTCTGTGTCTCACACCGTGCAAATATCCCAGTTCTTTCACAGGATCAGATAAAATGCTTCTGTCCATCGATATACAGGTTCAACACCAGTCAGAACTGTTCTGCTGCTTGTAACACGTGATGAACACCTATAAACGGTTTCAACCAGAATCCCCACAAAACTTCGGGTGTCATTCAGTTGCTTCAGTAGCTGGTGAGAGTCCTGATGGCAAGTCCTGCTTTCCCATGTTTGAGATGTCCACAGGGTGACGTGGGGCCTGACCAAAGGCGGGAGAGAAGGTGAGGAGGCTTCATACAGTAGCCTGAGTTCTCAGGTTTCTCAGAGCTCTGTGAATACAGGAAGAGGCAAAATCTCTGCTTCAGTAGTTCCCAAGTCTGGATTTTAAAAAATGCAAGTTCTGAGGCCACACCCTGAAGGTTATGGATTAGTTATTTATTAAGCATTAAATTTACTGAGTACATTTATTGAGCACCGACAGTATACCAGGCCCAAATCTGGGCCCTCAAACAACTTCATTCCCTGAACTCTCATCCTTTCGGTAGATAATGCTGTGCCAGATGGCATATAAAGGACTGTGACGTGGGTGGTGAACACATCAAGGCGTGTAGAGGAAACAAGATCAGGGCATGCCGTCGAGGGGAACCATGTGGTCAGGACGATTGGGGTTTCCGTACAGGGTAAGACGTGGGAAAAGGGATCTGGACAGCAAATCGAGAAATCTCAGGAATGCTTCTCCCAGGTTGACTGGTTTCTACTGACTCTTCAGAACATCGTCACTGTTTCTGAAGTTGTTCGCTGAAGTTGCAAACTGTCAAGGCCTTCTGTTTAGGCTTCACAAAAGGCCCCAGACTTAGGTAAGAGTATCTGTCCGCTTTAACTTTTCGCTGGGGGAAAGGTGGGTCATTAGACCATGGGAAGGGATAGTTCTTATATTTAGCTCGATCTTGTGCTGCTTCCAGTCAGTATTCGTGCAATGCCTCCTAACTGCCTAAGACACGATAGGCAGGATTGTGTCAGCAGAGAGATGCCTCCGAAACCATAGATAACACTTTCAAATGAAGAAACAGAGGCCCGGGTAAGTTCTCGCCTGAGTTCAGGTAGTGAGAAAGGGCAGAGCCAAGATTCAACAGGCAGCTGGGTCGAGAACACACATTCATAGCTGGGCATGGTGGCGCACGCCTGTAATCCCAGCATTCAGGAGGCTGAGGTACAAGGATTGTTGTGAGTTTCAGGCCAATTTGGGCTACAAAGTGAGTTCAAGGCCAGCCTGAACTGCATAGTGAGACCCTGTCTCAAAAAGCAAAAAAATAAAAATAAAAAAAAAGAGAGAGAAAGAACGCACATCTAACTATTTCTGCCTCTAGGTCAGTGGAGCGTGCCACCTATGCCTTCTCCCCACCTTCCTCAGATCGAGGAAGGAGTTAGGCACAGTAGGAGGGGGTGGGGAGACTAAGGGGTAGCATGAGGGAAGTCTTGGTGGTGTGAGAAAAGTTGTGTATCTTCGCTGTGTTGGTTATATGCACACATCCACACATGACAAAGTGGCATCACACATGACTGTACCACGTTACCTGTCTAGAATGGGTACTGTGCTCTAGTTGTGTAAGAGGTAAGCACTGGGGACACCGGGTAAAGGGTACACAAGACTGCTCTGTATTATTTTTGCAACTTCCTACGAATCCATAATTATTTCTTAATAAAAATGAAGCATATACCTATCTTCGGCATGCCTCAAATCAATCCTTTAAGACTGAATTAAAGAGAGATCATCTGTGAAAGGCAAAACAACTTTTGCTCAGGGCAAGCGGAATACAACGGCTCTGGGGAGGGAAAGGCAAAAAAGGAAGGAGGGGAACAAGAACCTCCCAGGAAAAACCAAACAACTTGCCCAACCCCCCAAAGAAGCCGGAAACAAAAAAAGAACCTCTGTCTTGTAGTGATTCCCAAGGAGCTATATCCAGCCGTCCACACAAGAAACACTGGGAAGCCAAGCGTAGTGGCTCATGTCTGTACTCCCAGCACTCGGGAGGCTCAAACGCTGTGGCAGCAACATCACCACAAGTTCGAGGCTAGCCTGGGCTACATAGTGAGTTCAAGGCCAGCCTAAATTACACAGTGTGACCCCGTCTCAAAAAACCCACGCCAAACCAAACCAAACACCACGGGGGAGAGCATGAAAGAACACAGAATCTCCATTCCACACCCAGAGATTCCCACATCTACAGACTCTGATTCACTAGGTCAAGGCCAGGGTTCAGCAGTCTGTATTTTAAAAGCTCCCCACGGGATGTGTGGGTTAGAGAACTTACATTAGGGAGCAGCTCATAAAGTGGATCTCTGACGATGTCACACGGGTCAGCCACCATAGAGACTGGAACCCAAGCCCTTGATTTTTATACGGCTCAGAGAGCCACGGATTATATTTATATCATAGAAAACATCCCAAGTATACATACCCTCGCTGAATGCCATGTCCAAACAATGAAACATTACAGTGAATCCTTTTTTCTCTTGCATTACTGCTACTTGGTTAATTTCTTATGGTAGAAATGTGCTTACAAACAAGAAAATAATTCTATCACATATGTTTGAGGATTCAGACAGCATTAGGCATGCTGCTAATCTAAGAACGTTTGGGGGGGTGGTTTCTATAACAAAATAACCACCAATAAGTAGCACAAATAGCAGCAGAGTATATTTGTCTCTTGTAGCAAAAAGCCCGGAAGCAGGCAGGTGTGGCTGTTCTCGGCCTGACTGCTCAGGAGAGTGGAGCTGATACCTCGACAGTTCTTTGTGTCTTTCCTTCATAGTCACAAAGTGACAGGTGCAACTCCAGCCAGGCTGCATTCAAGACTGTATGAAAGGGACGGGACAGGTGTTCTACTCCCCAGACTGCTGTCATGGCCACTGCGGGGGCGGAAAAGAGTCCGGGAAAATGAGTATTTCTCTTTTAGTCTCCTGTGGTCGAAGTAGGAAACGAAAAAGGGTCGGGCTCGCGTGTCAAATGAGTCAAACTACTGTGTCAGCTGCGGTTTTCAAATTAAACATTATTAAGCACTTGTTTAATTAAATCTAGAAGCACTGATCAGAGGCAAAGTAGTAAATCATCGGAGAAAATATTGATATGAAAATCAGGCATAAAGATCTCCACTGTCCATAATGCTACATGTTTTTACTGGTCTTTCATTCTCTGTTGGGATTAATTCTAGTTGTTTAAGAACTTCTGTTCCTTCAATCAATTGCCTACATAGGAGGAAAAGCAAAAAATATGGTCAGTCATCAGTTTCCATATTTATCTTCCACTCCCCAAAAACCGAGGCTATTACTTACACATGTGGTTAACTTCAGTCACCAGTGCTTTGGGTCTTAGCTCTGGGTGTGCCCACTTTATCTCATCTGCACCCAGTGCTGCCATCCAGGCTGCCGTCCCTTCCTGCCCGGAGGCTGCCTACTGCAGCAGCTCTGGGCTGGGCTGGCTCCTCTCAACTGCTCTGGCACCTGTCCCACTCCTTGCCACTGCAGTCCCATGGAGCTTTTAGATATCACCTCCCTGCTCTACATGTGTAGTAAAGACCCAAACTGTCCACCATGGCCTACAAGGGTCTGCACGGCTCCTACCGCCCCTTAGGGGTGTCCTGTCACCAGCTCCCAGTCACTCTCTTCTCCAAATGGCTGTCTGTCTGTCAGTACACAGAGAGCCCTGTGCTTCCTTCCTGCCACAGCGGCCCCTTTCTCTTGCTCCCTCCCCTTTGCCTGCTCACCAATGGGCCTTTCTTCAGCTTTCAGCTCGGTCCTCATTTCCTCAGGAATGTTTTCCAGGTCTCCCAACCAGTCAACTTTCTTCTCACCTTCAGAGCAGTTCCCAGGTCAAACTTTACATTTATGTATTTGTGTGCTACTTTAGTTAACTTCTGATTCTCCCATGAGGACAGTGATGGTGCTCTTGCTGAGAGGTCAGTGCCTAGCACAAGGCCTGCCATGCACTAGCTCCACAACCAACAACCACAGAGTGTGTGACAGAAAGCTCAAAGCCGTGCTAGTCTGGACCTCTGGGGAATGGTCATGAATGGGAACTCTCTGAGAAGTGAAAATAGACTGGTGATGGTTCTTTCCATCAGAAGATGGCAGCATGGAGCAGCAAGATGGACCTCGATATAGGACCAACTGATGCCCAGCCAACGATTGGGCTGGGGCAGTGGCTCAGTGGAAGGGAGCGATTCTGTGTTGGGCTGTAGTCTGTGCCAACACTTACCATGCTCTAGCCTTTTCTTAGTCTGGGCTCTATTTTGCCATTTCAATCAGAAGCCATGAGACAAGGTACCATGGTTTGAACACCCCAGCCCTGACAGCTCACAGTGTAATGTAATTGCCACTGTGATGGTAGTAAGAGATGAGCGGACCTTTAAAAAGTGATTTGTCAGGCAGAGCCCCCAGGAATGATTAGTGCTGTTTTCTGGAGTAAGTTAGTTATCTGTGGAGTGGGCTCCTGATACAATAATAATTCCAGCCCTTTCTGTCCTCTTACTGTGTTTTCTCCCATGTGCTTTCTAGCTGTGTGACACCTCCCACCATGCTATGACATAGCACAAAGGCCCTCACCAGATACTGGCGCCATGCTCTTGGATTTCATGGCCTCTAGAGCCATGAACCAAGGAAAGCTGTACTGTCCATAAATGAACCAGTCTGTGCTGTTCTCTTATGGCAATAGGAAATACACTAAGTCAGCAGCTCCCCAATCTTTCTGACACCAGGAATCAATTTTGTGGAAGACAGTTTTTCCACAGAACAGAGCAGGGGTGGAGATAGGGGTGATGGATGGATGATGGTGATGATAGTGGTGACCGTTTCTGGGTTATATTCTGATAAAGAGCCTCATGTGTACAGTTCACAGTAGGGTTTGGGTAAGAATGTAATGCTGTCGCTAATCTAACAGGAGCCAGGGCTCAGGTGGTGATGCAAGCGACAGAGATGAGATTTTGTTCATCTGTCTACTGCTCAACTCCAGCTGTGTGGCCTGGTTCCCACCAGCCCAAGGCCCAGGGGCTGGGGACCCTGGACTAAAACAAGGGGTAGCACAAGGTGCATTCTGAGGCTGAAAAGCAAAGGAGAAATGGACAGATGGGCTTCTGCCCAGTGAGGGCATGAAGTCTTCTCCAAATAGGTTTCACAAACACTGCGTGAGTCCTCACTATGTGCACCCATCCACTGTGACAGGTGTTAGGGTATATGATGGTTTCAGTTGTTCACCAGTTCCTGATTTAAGCTGTTCACAGTGTGCCAGAGACAACAAAGCAAGTATCTACTTTTGGGAGTTAGAAAGGTTTCTGACCTGACTGTGGAACAGGATTTCAGCCAACTGGAGAGGTGCAGAAAGGAACAAGAAAACAAAGCCTAGAGACTGTACTAGAAGTGATAGTATTAGGATTTGGCTGCCGCACAGCTGACAATCTACAAATTGCATCCAAATGTGTATCTCTACCCCTCCTCCAGCCTGGGATGCTGCTAACTGGCCTGCCCTATGAGATCTTGATCTGAGGCACAACCTGTCCTGCCTGAACTCATCTTTTCTCCCCAGTGGTCCTCTTTTTATTATCTTGGTGAATGGTACTAACCATCCACTCACTTCCCAAATCCTAGGAGTTACTATGAACCTGCACGGCCAGTACAGTAGCCTCTAGCCATATGTGACTATTTAAGTTTACTTAGGATCAAATAAAATATGGTTCCTTCATTGTACAAGCCACATTTCCAGAGTTCAGTGGCCATGTGTGGCCAGTGGCTGTCATATAGGACAGCAGAGATTACAGGACATTTGCATCAGCATGGAAAATTCTGCTGGACAGCACTGACCTGGTCTCCTGCCATGGCCTCCCTCCCAGCATCTAACCCTCTGAATCCAACTTCTCAGCACCACTTGGGTTTCTCTTCTCATCGTAATGTGACTAAACGTGACTTGCATCCTTCTCAGTGTTACTTTCCCAACTCAGCTCACCTTCTCAGGAAGTTTCCACTGATCCCTTCTGAATTTCAGTCTGTCTTAAAATCAAATTAATTTCCCCAACACACTCACTTCTACCTTGTATACATGAATGGAGATCTGAAAAGAAAGATCTCACAAGGAATTTTAAAATTCTTTTTCCATGAGGCCATGGGCAAAAGGCCACGGTCTGTGGCAGGGTATCCCCGAAGCATCCGTCTGAAGAAGTGACAGGTTCATCTGCCAGAACCTAGAGCTTAGAAAAGGAAATTCTGTATCTCTCTGGACCTTGTAGCTGTGTTGGAGCTTCCAGAAGCTGAGGTGACAGAAGGGGCAGCCCAAAATTTGGATCCTGGAGGGGTTAAATTTCACCTGGTTTAACTAGTTGGCTGTCTGCTACCTCATTACCTTTCTGCATCGCCCTTAGTGTTCTGCAGTGCTGTAAGAACGCCAGCTGAGCTGTAACTGTCACTTGGAGATTC